TGGAGGGGGGAGCATGTCCAGTGTCTGTGTCCAGTGGCACAGCTGGATCCAGGAGTGCACATCTGTCCACGGCATCCCTGAGGAGCCTCTTGCGGTCCAGCCTTGGCCAGCATTTATGGCCACTTTCCTGACCTTCAGCCAGGGGTAGAGCCTTACTTGGGATTTTCCAGCCTCACTACTGCCTTTTACATGCCATTCTTGTTGTTCCTTCAAGCATAGATTTAAAAAACTCAAACTCCTGTTTTGCTTTCTAGCCCTTAGCAATCTTCTCCTGCTATGTGTCCAAGCTTTCCCATCCGTTTCCAATCTGTAAGCAGTAGGTTTAGGAAGGTCTTCCAAAGTGTAACTCATCACATGGGTGCATGAAGTGGACTCATGCACTAGGATGGGGTTCTGAGCTGGAAAGAAACAGAGAGGGAGTGGAAGATTGGCTGGAGAAATATGAAAATCTCAGTGCAGCACTGAAAGATCAAGACAACACGTGCCAGTAGTTTTTGAGAGGCTGGGGTGGTCCCTCAGCTCTACAGGATAAGCTATCCAGTGTTGATGCTATAACAAATGGTACCAATTAGGTTCCATGATGTCCAACGATGGGCTCCTTTTCAAAGCAATATGCCATCCACCGGCACCAAAGAACAGGCAGCTCAAGCTCATGTGGCTGTAACCAGCTGTGATGGCTTCATCATCATCTGTACTTACTGTGCTCCAGGACACAAAAGAATCAGTCCATTCCAAAGGCTTTGTCATCTCAGGCTGCCTCAAAGTGAGAAGATGGCTGTTACATTGGGAACAGTAGAAGGTGGGGGAACCAACAGAAAATGCCACAAAAATGATCTGAGGAATGGAACATCTCCCCTAAAAGAACAGGATGAGAGAGCTGGGGCTGTTCTGTGTGGAGAAGGCTCTGGATAGACCTGAGAGTGGCCTTTCAGCATCTAAAAGAGGGCTACAAGAAAGAAAAGGACAGACTCTTTAGCAGGATCTGTTGTAATAGACAAAGGGAAATGGTTTCAAACTAAAAGAGGAGAGATTTAGATTGGACATAAGGATGAAGTGTTTTACAATAAGGGTGAGGCACTGGAACAGGTTGTCCAGAGATGTGGTTGATGCCTCATCCCTGGAGACTTTCAAGACAAGGCTGTATCAGGATCTAAGCAACCCCTATCTAGCTGTGGATGTTCCTGTTCATCACAGGGGAGCTGGAACAGATGACCTTTAAATGTCCCTTCCAACTCAAAGAAATCCAGGGTTCTATGACCCAGACAATAGCTGGGAAAAAGAAAATATTTAGGCAGAACATTCCCTAGAAAAGCACTGCATTTTCATTCTATCTCCAAAGACTTTCCCCTGCTGCCCTGGGCAAGTCACTGAGTTTATCTGTGAGTCACAAATAGTGCCACCTTAGTGGCATGAGGGCACAAAGCAGAAGATTGCTAAAACCACGCCGCGTGCACCTGTTGATCCTGCCTCTTTTTAGCACCGTTCAGCAACATGTTCACAGTTGTTTATTTGGGAAGAATTACTTCACAGCAAAAGCTATCCGAGTGGTGTTTTGACATCTGTCTCTCCTCCAAGAGGTTTGCATCTGAGGTGCAGATGTGCTGGGTACAACAGAGTGAATTGTCGAAGTGGGTTCAGACTGAGCATGTTTGATGCGTAGAGAACCTGATGTACAGCACTGGTATTCTCATAGCTGTGACTATTTCTACTGAAATTGCTGGTAAATTTTCACTGACTTGCACGGTACTGAATCAAGGCCCACAGATGGCACTGAGCAGGAAGATGATCGGTGATTTTGCAACACAAACCTAAGGTGGGTGGAAATGCATCTTGGGGACTGCCTTGGTAGCACTTCAATGCTTTCTGAAGCTGTACCAGGAGGTGGAAACGTACCTGGCATTCTGCAGCTGTAAAATGGTCCTCCCAGCCACATACAGCACTTCCAGCTGCACAGATGCTACTTATCTTTGTGTTCTCCTGGAACAAAACCTCTCTTTATTTTTCTCACTTCCAAAATAAACTTCCTTTTCTGTACTCCCACAGAGAATCACCACTGGGAAGAAAAGCTGTGCAGAGTTTTCCATCCAGCAGATTGCCTCTCCACTCCTTCCACCCTGAGAATCTGAAAGCAGAGCAAGGCTACTGTTTACAGAAAAGCAGAGAGCATTTAGGAGCTGCCTTGTTTCTAAATACATCCATTTCTGATTGAAAGAAGCTGAGATAGTTACACTGAAAGAGCTAATTAAAATGTAAACAGCATTGCTTTTAATTGCTAGCACTAAAAATTGTCATTATTTATTTTATAAGTTGAGGTGAATAAGAATATGTGTTTAATTGCAAAAAGGAGGAGGAGGTAAATTTTAAACGTGCTTTGGAGATGCTGCAGGCTGAGCTCTGGCTGGTTGTTTCTATGAGAAAATGCAGTGTGTTATTTTTCTCTACAAGTCCTTCACTGTCACACAGTTCAATTTTTCTCTCTTTTAAAGCATCTGTTTGTTTGTTTGGCCTTTCTTTTTCAAAAACTTATTTTGTGTCTTCTGCAATTCTCACTCATGGAGGAGTCTGGAAATCAGTCCAGAGCTTCATGATCAGTCATTACAGGATGTTTTTCTGTTCATGCTGGTAAATGGCTCGATTCTGCATTAATTAGTTAAAGATGTGAAGTGCCGACTAAGTGCTAAGTAATGTTACATAAGTGTAATGTATGGCAGACACACTGTGCCACAAAAAGCATAGTAGTATTTTGCACTTAACTAGCACCTTTTAACCCAGGTTGGCAGAACTCTTCACTATCACTGCTGGAGGCTGTCAGCACCCTAACAAATGAGGTTATTATTTTAATATGCATTTACAGCAGAGAAAACTGAGGCAATGAACAGCTGAGTGCCTCGTGCCTCAGCAAGCCAGCAGCTGAGCAGTGCAGCAAAGCCAGGCATCGAGAGCCACCACCAGCCCTGGTGATGGACAATCGTATCATAGAATCATAGAATCATAGAATCATAGAGTCACAGAATGGCTTGGGTTGAGTGGGATCTCAACGATCATCGTGTTCCAACCCCTGCCACAGGCAGGGTTGCAAGCTGCTAGATCACATACTAGATCAGATTGCCCAGGGCCCAATCCAACCTGGCCTTAAACACCTACAGGGACAGGGCATCCACAGCCTCTCTGGGCAGCCTGTTCCAACATCTTACCATTCACTCAGTAAAAAAAACTTCTCTCTGACATCTAAATCTCCCTTCCATCAGTTTAAAACTGTTCCCCCTTGTCCTGTCACTATCTACTCATGTAAAAAGTTGATTTCCCTCGTGGTTGTAAACTCCGTTTACATTTTGGAAGGCCACAATTTTCCTACAGCCTTCTCTTTTGCAGGCTGAACAAGACCAATTCCTTCAGCCTTTCTTCATAGATGTGCTCAAGCCCTTGGATCATCTTCATGGACCTTCATGGATCCTCCTCTGGACACTCTCCAACAGCTCCACATCCTTCCTGTGTTGGAGAGCCCAGATCTGGACACAATACTCAAGCTGGAGCCTCATGTGGGCAGAATAGAGTGGGACAATCACCTCCCTGTCCCTGCTGGCCACCTCTCTTTTGACAGAACCCAGGATACCACTGGCCTTCCAGGCTGCAAGCACACACTGCTGGCTCATGTTCATTATTTCATCCACCAGGACCCCTAAGCCCTTCACAGCAGGGGTAATCTCAAGGAGTTTTTCTCCCAGTTTGTATGCATATCTGGGATTACTTTGACCCAACTGCAAAACCTTGCACTATGCGCTGTTAAACCTCATTAGTTTCACAAAGACTCACATTCAGAGTTTATCAAGATCTCACCGGATGGCATCTCTTTCTGCTATATCAACTGCTCAGCTTGGTGTCATCAGCAAACTTGCTGAGGGTGCATTCAATCCCACCATCTACGTCATTGATAAAGATGTTAAAGAGTATTTATCCCAAGAAGGACCCCTGAGGGGCACCATTCATTACAGGCTTCCATCTGGACATAGAGCCATTGACCACAGGTCTCTGATTATGACCTTCCATCCAATTCCTTATCCATCAAACAGCCCACCCTTCAAATCCGTCTCTCTCCAATTTAGACAGAAGGATATGGCGAAGAACCATGTCAAAGGCCTTGGACAAGTCCAGGTGGGTAACACCAGTTGCCTTCCCTTTGTCTATTGATTCTGTCACTTCATCATAGGAGGCCACCAGATTGATCGGGTGTGACCTTCTCTTGGTGAAACCATGATGGCTGTCTCAGATCACCCACTCTGCCCTCATAGAACGACTTGGGTTGGAAAGGACCTTTTGAGATCATTTTGTTTCAACCTCTCTGCTGTGGGCAGTTACCACCCACTACATCAAACCTTGAACACTACCAGGGATGAGCATCCACAGCTTCTCTGGGCAGCCTATTCCAGTACATCACCAGCCTCTGAGTAAAGAATTCCTTCCTAACATCCATGTCCCATAACCTGGCGGCCACATCTTGGGGCCAACCTGGTGGCAATGGCAAAAGGGAAGATATTTTGGATGGGCTCTGTATACATTGCAACTCAGCATTTGGAAGTGGGCTGAAACGAGTGGTCTGTGTTGCTCAGGAAGACTTCAATAAGGATGTGGAAATAGCAAGGGATGGAGAACACAATTCTTCCCTCCCCACAGTGAGCTGCTTGTTAGAAAGAGGAATTTCCTTTCCATGTGGCAGGCTTCTGCTTCCAACCATGTATATTTGTAGGGTTCCTACACTGAAGAGGAAGCTGAAGGGAGACCTTGTGGCAGCTTACAGGTGCTCAGAGTTAGTGAAGGGTCAGGAGCTGAGCTCTGCTTTCCAGTAAAAGACACAAAGCCTGAGGAAACAGCATGGAGTTGCATCAGGGGAAGGTCAGGCTGGGAGTTAAGAAAAGGTTCTTCACCAGAGGGAGGTAGGCATGGAACAGGATCCCCAGGGTGATGGTCATGGCACCAAGATGCTGAAGTTCAAGAAGCATATGGATGATGCTTGTTTAAACTTGTTTTTGTTTGTTTAGAATGACTGTTTACGAGGGTGGATAGTGATAGGACAAGGGGGAATGGTTTTAAAATAAAACAGGAGAGGTTCAGGTTAGATATTAGGAGGAAGTTTTTCACCCAGAGGGTGGTGACGCACTGGAACAAGTTGCCAAAGGAGGTTGTGGATGCCCCATCCCTGGAGGCATTCAAGGCCAGGCTGGATGTGGTTCTGGGCAGCCTGGTCCGGTGGTTGGCGACCTGCACACAGTAGGGGGTTTGAAATCAGATGATCATTGTGGTCCTTTTCAACCCAGGCTGTTCCCTGATTCTATGAACTTTGGATGGTCCTCTGTGGAGCTAGGAGTTGGACTCAATGATCCCTGTGGGTCCATTCCAACTCAGAATATTCTCTGATTCCATGTTTGAAGAGCAAGAGGAAGAACAGCTTCACCTCTCACTGCTGGCTTTACGTGATTTCCAGTGCCACGGATATGTACAGATCCAAGTGCATTTAAACTCAAGGACTTTTCACCTGTCAAACCCAAGTGACCACAGAGCAAGCCAGAACAGTTGGGGCATAGTTTATAGAGTCATGGAATCATTCAGGTTGGAAAAGAGCTCCTAGATCATCTAGTCCAACCATTCACCCACCACCACCATTTCCTCATTACACCATGTCCCTTAGTACAACATCTAAACATTCCTGAATGCCTCCAGCGACTCAACCACCCTCTTAGGCAGCATGTTCCAGGGCTTGGCCACTCCTTTGGTTAAGCCATGACAGTTCATTGCTCATCTGGCTTTATGCCTCAGGTCACCATCCAGGAGCTAGAGCTTGTTATCTTGATGGGGTGCTCATCCAGACCCAGGCACGCTATCCTTGGAAGCCCTTGGGCTCAATGAGGGTAATTCCTGCTGCTCAGGCTTCCCTGCTCTGTCCCTTCTCTTACTGGTGAGTGAAGCTCTTGCAGCCTTTCCTTCCCTCTCCAAGGTATTTTTTTCTGCCCTTAAATTGTTTGATTTTTTTTTTTTTAGCTGCACCTTCTTTGGATTTTCAACATACTCTACAAATTTTGATTTCATACCATATTTGTATGTTTAACAAGAATAATTCCAAACTCCAAAAACAAACTGTGCCCTGACTGGCGTTACATAGCATTTGTGATAATTGGATTCTCAGAAAGCCAAGCACTTTCTGAGATTTAATGAGATTCAAACTTTAATTACCGTGTCCCTTTCTCAGGCATGCAGTAGAAGCAGGGAGAAAAATGACCATAATCAGGTCTTCAGCATGTTGCAAGAGGCGGCCTTGATGGATAGCACTTTGATCCCTTAATGAGGGGGCATTCTTGCCATGCACAGTTGGAAAGCCAGTTTCTCTTGCATCACGGCCTACATTTACATGCTTAGGATTTCAGCCACAAACCAATGCTCTCTCCTCTCAGAAGACTTCAGTGATAGAAAGCCAGCAGAGATGGCTCCTGGAACTACCACACTGCAGAAGAAGAGAGGGAGACAAGGACGTACTGGGGGTTAGAGTAGACTTTAAGGTCTTGATGATGAATGATGACACACAGTGATCCCTAGACAGAGTCAAGTGGCCCTGCAGGACCAGTGTGAGCTTAAAGCCCCTCGCATGGCTATTCTCTTGCACACCACAAATACCAGGCAGATTTTGCCCGTAAGGCTTGATGACTCACTTGCTGGCTTTCTCACTTCCCCGCCTCCGTCCTGGAGGATGCGGTGTTTTGCTGAGTGTTATCTGCACTGTGGTTGGCGGAGGCAGATGAATGCAGCGGTTTTGTGTCTGCAGAAAGAAGGCTTCAACAGAGGGATGTGGTCATTAACACTTCCACTTTATCCAGGAGGAAGATATCATATGGCCATCTGAGAGGACCTTTAAATTGCGATGTTCAGCGTGCGTGATGTTTAAATTCAAGCCAAATTAATTTTAGAAAAGTGCTGTGTTGAGACAGTGCATCAAATTCTTCACAAATGAGACGAAATATTGCCTCCACTGTATTCTCACAACCACTCATTTCATAGACTGATAAAAAATCTCTCCATCTTCATGTTTTTTATAGCCCTGTGGATAAACATTCATTATTCTTTCATCCTTTAGACAGTCAGAGATTTATGTCACGTCCTGCCTTTTCCTTCGCTGTATTTGGGACCAAAGTCAGTGTTGCCAGGTAAAAATTTCCATTGCTCTGCCTTCCATTTCCTGACCTCTTTCCCAAGAACCCAGCTATCTCCTTCGTTTTCCATGACTTATAAAAGGTCACCACTGTTGCTTCTTTTCCTCTTTCAACAATCTGGAGGACATGCTATTCTTGCTTAATACATCCAATCTTTTTTTTTGGAATTATCTTTACTTTATCTTCAGCTGGTTTTGCTTTGCTGTGTACTCTAGATGCCTACACAAGGAGACGTGACTGCTTCTTGCAGGCAGCATGGGAAGCCAAGGTCTAAGCGGGCAGGAGCTGTGGGTGGCTTGAATCATTCTTGACATGACACCCATCCCAGCAGTATCTGTGAGCAGGCTTGGCACCTCCAGTCCACCCATGCCCAAGACCTCAATTGGTTCCTGATGTTACCCAGCCACTTTCTGAGCTGTGCATTTTGTGGCTACCCCTTTTGGCCTTGCCCAGATGATTTCAGGCAGAAGAGGTATACATCTGGCTCTCATATTCCACAGATAGACCTGTCTCTCTAATACTTCCCAAGCTGGCATTTTTGCAAACCTTTCACCTCCCTGAAACTTCTCTGTAGTATCAATCAGTGTTTTATTGTTATTCTTCATACCACCTTTTCCCTTGCAAATCTGTCTTGACTCACATTTTTTGCTTGCTGTATCCTTTCCCAAGAAGTTAGTTATTTTTCTCCTTGGAGCTGCATATTCCTGGGAAGGGGCAGGGCTGCAAGCTGACTGTTTTACGTGCTCCAAAAGCACGCAGGGGAGTTGCGAACCATAAGCAAAGCCCTTGCGGGGCTACATGTAGGGTCGTATCCATATCCAGCATGCTCTTAGGCTCCTTCCATTTTGAGATTTGCAATGCTTCTTTTAACTGGAGGAAGGATCTAGCCTTCCTCCAACACACACTGAGCAAATCTGGACTGGGCAACTCGAGGTGCCCATGCTGAAGGACATAATGACTTGGGTCACTCTCCTGTCCCTCTTCTCCTCTTTCTCAGCTATGTGGACAGATCCCTGAGCCCCTCAGTCAGTCTATGCATGTGGCAGCAGGTTGGCAAAGTAGCAGGGATGACACTCAGGCAGCCCACAAGCCTCTGAGCTCTGGCTGCCAAATCCACATGGATGACTGCTCATAAGCATGAATCTGTCTCAAGCCTTCAGCAGTCACAGGGCTTTTGTCTCCTTCCTCTTCCTAAGAAGCAGATTGCAAAATCACCAAGCCACAGAAACAAGCAGTATCTGAATAGGCTCATGAACCAGTCCATGCCCATATGTGGCTCCTGGGAAACAGCTTCCTATGGAGCAGGAGAAGCTGAGTGTGCTGAGAAGTGAAGCCACCTGCTGGGTATGTAGCTATCCTGTTTTCCCAGGGAACAGAAATGCTTCTCTACAACATGCTGAAAACTCCTGGATCTATGGGGGAAAAAAAAAAGCCACCTCTCAACATCAGCAGTTGCATCTTTCTCCTGGATCCCCATAGCCCTTTTTTTATAAGAGCATTAGCAACCTTGCCCTGTCTCAGCCCTCCCTGCACCAGTTCTCCCAGCCTGGCAGACCTCTGTCCCCAAAAGCATCTCTCCTTGTTCCCATACACGCAAACCCAGTGAAGAGAGTGCAGGAACAGCTACAATGTCCTCTTCCTCTGTATCACTCTCAGCAAACAGCTGCAATCTCCCACTCTCTCATGGTAGACCTTAAGGTCAGGCTCCGGACAGGACAGATGAGACCCTTTGGGTGGATTTCCTGCTGGAGCAACATCTGGAGAAGAAAAATCAACTTGAGATCTCCTTAAATGCCCTGTCTTGACAGATGATGCTTATTCTTTCATCAAATATTATTTTTTGGTTTGGAAAATTCATCTCTGTTCATGGAAGCAGTGAGTCCTGCTTATTTTCCACTTGACACTGAGCACTGAAGAGGGTCTTAAGTAGAACATCCAGCCATGGCTGGGAGGGTGATCTCGATAAATACGTACATCCTTCCCCAAGCCCTACCCTTCCCATAACTGCTGCCAGTGTTTCCACCTACTTAGTACAAATACAGGAACAGACACAACAGGAAGTGGTTCTCTAGGATAAAGCAGGCTTTTGAGGACTTCAGAAACTGAGACTGGGCACAAACTCTCCCTGGGGAGCACTGGGATGGGGCGGTGTTTGGCATGTGACTGTTTCATGGTGGGCGACTCATCACAGCAGTGTGTCTGCTGATTTTCATATCATCAGGAATGGCAAACAAAAGGTTGCTCTGCTTTCCCAAGGGTCAAACATTACTCCTGATGGAAAGCTCGCAAAGATGTAGGAATGCAAATGGTGAAGAGGGTTGATTCCGCACCATCTGTTTCTTCCCTCTATCCTCCTGCCTGAAGAAACACCTGTGCAGGGTGCAGAGCTGCTGAGATGGTCTGCAGCTGGCTTACTGATACTGGGAAGAAGAAAAGGAAGCTAGCATCTTCTCCACGTGGCCTGCGGTTGGCCACTTGACAGGAAACAGGGAAAGCCCAGCAACCTCTCTGGAAAAGACATCTTTTTTGCATAGATCAAAGCATAGGACTGTTTCCAGGGCAAGAAAATAAACAGAAAGTGTGAAAAATGTCAGCTCATTTAAAAAAGATGCAGAAGGAGGATATGCTTTTCTGGTGGGGCCAGATAGCCAAGGAGTCAGGCTCACAGAGGTGGAACGGCAGATCACAGCAATGTTTCCAGGACTGCTCAGAGACAGAGATGAGAGTTTAATTATTCTCAGATACAACAGAAAGAGGTTAAAAACATTTGTTTGTGAATCCAGAGAATAATTAAGAGTGAGTCACGGAAAGTGTTGTTCCAGCTATGGTAAAAACAAGCCAGCGCTGAAGGGTCTGCTGGTCATTTGAAAGCATCGAGAGCTTCAGCCCAAGATTCCTTCCTTAATTGCACCACTTTTGGGCACTCGCTGTAAATTAAGCGGACTGGAGCACAAGGGAGCTAATGCAGTGCTCTGAAAGGCAAACTATTAAGCAAAGTGTCTCTCAGATGTTTAACTTCAAGGAGGCACAATTGAAATCTCATCAATTATGATCAACGGACATGAGAAGGGTTTAAAGTTCATCTGTAACGTAATTTGCAGAATAATAGAAATTAAAGAAGCAAAATCTCTTTTAGGTTGAGTCTACTTCAGTCCCCAGGGAGAGCTAGATGGGTTTCTGTATCATGTTTCCCACAGTGCTGCATGCATGCAACAAATGCAACACAAGAAACTTTCCCCGATGCACTTTTGTGACTCTGAGGATGTTGCTATTGAATAATTAAGCTTACAGACACGAGTCCTTTCTGTGCTGCCCCAGGCGTGTTCCCTGCCTTTGTCATCATTTTCAGTTTTCTCTTTCCAAAGCATACCAAGCTATTCTCATAGCTCTTCTCCTGGATTGCAAGCAGCTTTCTGCTGTCCTTGGCATCCTCCTCCTTGAAACTTTTCACCCAAGTCCCCTGCCCTCAGCAATCAATGTGAACAATGAGCTTAAGGGAAGACCCGACTGAAAAACAAGATTGAGTTCTTCACTTCCCACTGTGTTGCTGACAGTAATACTACTTAGCACTTTTACCCTATGACGCATTACCCAAACATTAGCTAATTATCCTGCCTGACTCCTTAGAAAGTAGGCAATTAAGCAGTTAGCTCCACGCTCCAGATAGGGAAACCTGGGCAGAAAATGTGGTTAATAGGGGAAAGGCCAACCCTATGGTGTAGGGTGGTGAGTATCCCTGCTGACCAGAGTAGGGATGTCAAGGATGGTGCTTATCTTGCTTATCTCAGTTGCTTGCAATACTGCTGAGCTTCTTCTAGAGTGGGCATAAGAACAGCAACACCTTGGTACAGGGATTCATCCTCACCAAAACCGTGTCCCATTGTGGTAGGCTGTCATCTTCTAGAAGAAGCATCCAAAGAGTCCACTTCCTCCATACTGCTGAAGGGAAGAAGACGATCCTGGCTGGTATGGGTGCCCTGAGCAGGCTGTGCAAGTCCTCTCCAAACCACAGACAGCAAAGTTGCTGAGATCAGTGCTCAAGAACTCCCGAATCCTGGAAGTACTCAGCTGGTGTCATTGCAGCTGACTTTGAGGAACATTTTGGAGCACCCAAAGCCAGAGCACCACAACCCCTATGTCGCAAAAAGCATGCTACAAACTCTGCCCCTCCACATGGCTGGGGACCTATTTTCCTTCAGCCATGAACTGTGGCTACGTTTGAAGGGACACAAAAGCTGAAAAAAACTATTTTTAATGCAGAGAGCAGATCTTTATCAGAGAGGTCTTTAAAATAAGGCAGAAGGAGTCCAAGCCTAATAACAAGAGCTCTAGCCATTCTGACTAACTACTCCATAAAATGTGTAATTACAGCACTATAGCAACAATTGAATTCCAAGGCACATTTTGCATCTGAAACACAGGACTGAGCATCCTCTCTGGGTGATTCAGAGCACTAATCACAATGCCCAAGCACTTCACTTGGAAGGAGGAGAAGCACGGAAGTGAAAGACGAGCAGAGTGCACTGGGTGTGCAAGCACGTCGCCGTGAGAGCACCGTGCACAGGATGCATGCACCTCCCAGGGGAAGAATAAGTATTTTTAGCTGGGATTATCTTGTCTGCTTCCTAAAAGCGCTCACTGCCTTTGTGGAGAGGAGCACAATGTTGGCTGCATCACACCAGAGTCGACAGCACAGCGGTGACATTTGAGAGGTGCCTTTTACTGAAGCTCACCAAGTGCGAGTGTTATTTGTGCCACCTAAGCAGCTTTTCCTGCCCTCAAGCGCCCTATTTCAGTTCGTGAAGGGCCAAGTGCACAAGGGCACCAAGATCCTCTTTCCCCAGTGCAGTTCAGAGCCACTCACATCCCCTTAAACGGCACTTCCTGGCTCACATACACTCTCCTCCATTGTCTGGGACATGTTTGCAGCTGGAGACTGATGAATGAAGCTGAGTTACTGACCTTGATGTAAAAAAAAAAAAAAAAAAAAAAAAAATCATCATAGAACTGTGTTTGTGCTTTGTAAAACAAGCCTTTTAAAGCTGGCATTTATGCAAAGAAAAATGCCAATATGCATATGGAAGCTCTGGTATTTAAGGCCCCTTTCAACCTTCCAGATTGCCAGTGAGCTTTCACTGATTCAAGCCTTTAACCAATGAACAGGTGCTCTAAGAGCTGGTGAAAAGTTCTCAGACAGGTATTTAAGTGAATGGGCTAGAGCAGATGCTTAGTTCAGAGTCTACACAACTAGACCTATTTTCTTATGCTGAAAGAAGTACTGTTTCTCTGCGTTATAAGGAGGTACAGATGGTCCCTTGCTCCAAATGGATGAGGGCAAGGGAAAAATTACGTAACCTGTCTTTGAGGCATGCTCTCACCCCCCTTTCTGTTCAGAAATTCATTCAGGCTCTGCAGAAAATGCATTTCAAAACAGCTTCACCACTATTTTTTCCTCATTCACGTTACCAAAATGAGATAATAATTAGTGAGGCCACTTCAGGGAATTTTTTGGAATTGCTCTGGTCCATAGGCTAATGGTGCTTTTCTTCAGAGTTCCTATGGGAGGTCTTGGAAGATACTCTCCAGTCAGAGAGTTGTGTAGGCAGGCAGGTTTATTTCCCCAACACGGAGCACTGAGTTAAAGCCAGGGCTTCGTTTTGCAGAGGGAGCTCACTTAGGTGAGCAAGCATTGCCAAAATCTGTTGTGACAATACCCAATCAGACCAGTGCTCTGATTCTGCTCAGAAAACAATAGGCGCTTACACAACTACAACCCACTGGAGGTTTTTGACTTGCTGAGCAATGAGACCCCGAATGTTACAGCTCTGCCTCATGTCCTTGGCTCTGTCCTGCTTTGGAAGGAAACATGCTGTGACCTGCACTGCCAATGCTATTTCCTCTCACTTGTCTTTAAAGGTCTCTTTTTCCAACAGCTGATCGGCTCTGCAGCTCCGGAGAGTACGTGAGATCCGGCTGGCCCACGGTCTAGCTGGTATGGCTGTGTGCCATGTTGTTGTTTGTATTGCTTTCATTTTTTTGGCGTTACTTGGCTCTTCCAGGCAACTTGTTTTCATCCTGAACTATGTGCTCATTACATATCCAAACACCCACGCAGGTTTTGCATGAGGAAACTCGAAACACACACGCAGCAGAGGAGCAAATTTGCAAAGGGGGCAATGAGATATTTGTCTCGAGGCAGACACAAACAATTGTCAGATCCCTGAGCTGTCCGTGGTTAGATTTCAGACCTACTGATGACAAGCGTGTTAACACTGTGTGTGCATCCTCCTGGCAGAGAAATGCAGGGACATCTCCTGTGGTCCACCTTCAACAACCCCAGCTACTGTTCCCGGCACACATCCAGGGACCTCCTAGCTGTGCCCCAAAAGCCGAAGGGACCCATTTTTGCTACTCTGGTCCCCTTCATGGCCCCATCTCCACTCCAGCCAACTGCTGCCTGCAGGGATCTACAAGTCCCCAGCCAGCTCAGGTCCTGCAGATGCCTAAAGGCACTGGAGGATTTCAGCAACGTCCCAAGAGATGGGGATAGGAACATGCCTGCTTGGCATGATGGTTGTGTCATAAGTGTCCTCTTTTTGGGTTGTTCCACAGAGCAGAGAGTTTGAGTGACTGCTAGAGGTGGTACAGGGCAGCATCGGTACCATTGGACCGCCCATTTGCACAGAGCCAATGTTGTATTAACACAGTAAACTCACAGAGCTTAGCAGAGCAGGGCTCAGATACTCAAGTTTTCCGAGTCTCTCCCATTTTTACAGCCCCACTGCTGCTGCAGTTGAGCTCCAACAGACGCAGTGAGCTCAGCTGGAGGCTTGCAGGCCGTCCAAATCTGCGGCACACTGCACTCCTCCCTGCCGTGCCAGGCCTGCTCTTAGCGTGGAAAAACCCTCTCCCAGCTACTGCCAGGATCTGTGCAGTGCTAGGGAAACTTCGTTTGTAGCTTGGGATTGCTTTGCTTTCTTGCATCCTTCCCTGCTTCCTGTGCTGCAGATGAATAAAGATTTTCCAGAGCTGTCAGTACTATGTATTTCACCAGCATTTGCTTCTTTAGGTCCAAATCATGCTAAAAATAAGCTGGCTTGGCATTCACATCTTGATTCAAGTGGTAACAGGACACTGGGCAGAAAAACTCCTGGGGCTATGTGCTCTGTGCAGCAGCGAGTAGCGAGCTGATGGTGTTCCCTCTGCCTCCTCCCTGCTGCCGGCATGGAGCTGGCACTCGCCGCTCGTTGCGATCTCCAAAATTTCATATTTAGAGGTTACAGTTTTATATGGCATCGCTCCTCTCTGGCTGCTTGTTAGTGAGGCTCCAAATGCCAAGGTAGAATATTTTCTCCTGGTGGAGGGAGTATATTATTAGCAAGATCCACAGTAAACTATTTCCTTTAATATTCTTGTGGTAAATCGCAGGGGGAAAAAAAAAAAAGAAAAAGAAAAAAATAACAAAAAAGCGGAGGCTTTGGGTGAGTGAAATTTTAAATGCCACATGAAGACCTCAAACTTCTAAAAACCTTGTTAGTGCAGCAGCAAAGGTAGAGCTGTGGAATATGGTACCTCGCATGCAAGTTTTTGCTGTGCTGCAGCAGTAGAAGCACCATTCCCTCAGGTCCCAAAAAAGGGTCTTGAGACAAAGCACTTGCTGTTCCTCCTCACTTTTGAGATCCTCAGCTGACGTTCAGCCTCCAAGGCTGCTGCAAGAATGTTTCATCCTCAGCCAGATTTTGTTGCAGCACTCTCACTTGCTTTCCTAAAATAAATGGCGAAAAAAAAAATCCTTGTGTTAATTTAATCTAGCCAGGCATTTTGCTGTCCTGTCTGATAACATCCCTCCAATCTGTCATTTCCAACTGACAGCTGTTTATTTGTTGTCGCCTTATTGGTATTTTTCTTGTTATTTTAGTTTTGGTTTTGTCCCTGATCTTGAAATATCTCCTCTTAATTCTCAAGCATCCAAAAACTGCTCCAGGGATTCCTCAAGTCTTCCCTTCACTTTGGTGGGGGTTTTGGATGGAACAATTTTATTTCAACCAAAAATCAAACTAACAAACAAACAAACCCCCATACAGTAACCTCAGTCAGAGAAACCATCAATAAATCTCCAATTTACACACTTGGAAATCACACGTGTGTTTGGGATTTCAGGTCCATTCATGTGGCAGGAAAAAGCACTGAAAAGCATCATGGCATCAAACAGAGATTACAATGTGAGCATCCCTTTAAACCAGGGACTGCAGTGTAAACCTGAAGAGGTCTTAGCACTGCTGGAGAACCATTCAGCAGCACTGATAGCAATAGATGAAGTGATTAAATACATGTTATTCAGTAGAATTCAGAAGGAAAAAAAAAAAGAAAAAAGTTATTAAATATGACAGTGCACAAGGCACGGGAAACCACTCGGGCTCCTTCCCACAGTCTGGATCTCCAGGTAACCTTTCCATGGAGCATTCAGATGAGATGTGGTATGGACCAGAAAAGAGACAATAAGCCAAGAAAAGAAGCCCAATAACCTCAATAATTATAGTACCTTCCACTGAATTTCCAGTTGCTTGCAAATTGTCGGTCAAGCATTAAATCTGGGTACCACTCCATTAGCTCATTTTTATTTCACTCATTACTAACTCTTGTTTATATATTTACAGTTATTTACGGTGACTTTGATTGCTCCAGTTCCTTTTTTGGAAAACAACAACAAAAACATGTTGAAATTGACAGAACTGTCAAAACAAGCTGCTTCTGATACTTACAAAGTACAGAGCTATGTGGTGAAATACAAATAATAAAACAGACTAAGAGAAAAGAGCTGAGCTACTCACAACAGGGATCAGCGCAGGAGCTGGACGAAGTCACATCATGCTTGGGTTTTGCTTCAGCCCCTTCCCCACACAGCTCGTGGAGTGTTCCCTTGACCCTACAATCCACTGCAGCCCTTCAGAGCATCCCCTAAAGCCCCTTGGTATGGATCCCCCAGCCTCTGTACAGCCTTGCAGACACAATCTATGTCCTATCCCCCCTGTACAGCCTTACAGACACAAACTACATCCTATCCCAGTCTCTACGGTGTCCACTACCCAATGCCACCCCACAGGGCTTCACAGTCCCACAGCCCCATAGGCATAGCCTCACACCACTACAACCCCAAATTACATCCCACTTCAGGTCCTACAACCCCAACGCTCCAGTACAGCCCCACAGGACATCTTCATGCAGCTCACTACAGTCCTACGGGGCACTCAAAACAAAAACAGCCCCCAAATTACACCCCCAGAGCCCAAAGTGCCGCTCAAAGCTCCACAAACCCACCGCAGCCCCTCACCAAGCCACACCCTATAGCCCACCCACACAACCATGCAGCCACAAATTACACCCCAAGCCCTGCAGCTCCTAATAACCCACTGCAGCCCTCACAGACGCACCACAACCCTCACGACCTATAAAGTCCCCCTCACATCACACCACAGCCCAACCCGGGCGCCCCACAGCCCCTGCCCCGCCACCCGCGCGGTCCCTTTAAGAGCTCGGCCCCGCCCCTCCCGCGGTCGCTGCCGGGGCCGCGGCGGCCGCTGCTAACAACAAGATGGCGGCTGCGGGGCCGGCGGGCCCCGAGAGCCGGGTGCTGGGTTACACTTTGCATCGCTGGAGCAGCTTCTCCTCTACCTATCTGCCAGAGTGAGTCCGGGCTCGTGCTGGGCGTGCTGACAGGGCCTTGTGGGGGTGAGGGGAGGAGGCGGGAAGGATCGCGGAGTGAGTGTTTGGGCCTGGTTGGGAGGGTGAGGCGGGGTAGGCCTGGTGTAGGCCTGGTGTGGAGAGGGGGGTGGGAGATCTGAGGGGATGGGGGGCTTTTGAGGGCGAGGTGTGTGGCGGTCAGAGGGTTTTGGGGAGGATGTCTGTGGGAGCGTGATGATAAGAGTGTTTGTGTGGGGGCTGTGGGTGCAGGAGGGGGTTAAGTTTGAGGGTCTTAGAATGGTCGTTTTGGGGATGGGTCTGTGTTGATAGGGTGAGCGATTAGCTTTTCAGGGACTGTGTGTGTGGGAGAGGGTTAGAGTTAGGGGATCGGGAATAGGGAAGATGGTCAGTGTGGGGGGGATGTGTGTTTGGAGGAGAGCGGTCACTTATGGGGGAGTGTGCCCTTGGGAGGGCGCAGGAGTTCTAAAGGCTCTATATGGAAGGGATGGTGGCCCAGAGGTTCTGGGGAGGGGCTGCATGTGTGTGTGGGGGGTGGTTTAGAGGTTCTGGGTGGGCTATGTGTGGAGGGGGAGGGGGGTGGTCTTAAGTTCTTTTGGGGGACTGTGTGAGTGTGGGTGTGGTGGCCCAAAGATTTTGGGGGCAGAGGGGCTGTGTGTGTGGGGAGGGGTGCTCATCAGCATTCAGGAGTTTTGCGTTTATGGGAATGAGATGGTTAGTATTGGAGAGGCTATGTGTGAAGGGGAATGGTGGTCTGAAGACTATATGGTGATGGATCCTCAGCAGGTTTGGGGGGCTGTGTGGATGAGAATGTCAGTTTATTTGGGGGGAGTATGTGAGGAAGGATTTCCATAAGCCCGTAGGTGTTGGGCTGATGCATCTGTGGGGAAGGAAATCAGATTTTGGGGGTTTGTGTCTGTGGGGAGGGGTACTCAATAAGGGGGGGGCAGTTTGTGTGGGAAGGAGTGTTTATCATGCTTGGGGATGTCCGGGGGGGATGAGGTTAATCTGAGGGAAAATGTTGGTCAGAAGTTTTGGGAGACTGTGTATGTGGGGAGAGATAGTCAGTAGGGTTTGTGGGGGCTGTGTGTGGGAGTGGTGCTCAGCATGTCTGGAGGGTGTCCTGTGTTCTGGAGGGGTGGTCAGCAGTTTAGGATTTTTAGGAGCAGGAGGTGGTCAACAGATTTTAAGGGGCTGTATGCATGGTGGGGGATCAGCCAGGTGGGGAAAGGGGTGATACCTGCCCTGAGGGGTATGTAGGGAGGGGTTGATGTGCATGCAGGTCTGGTGAGATGCTGACCTTGTTTGGGGCAGGTAGGAGGGATGCACTGAGACACCAGTCTTTGGGGAGGCTGAGGGGAGCAGTCATCTGCTTTGGGTAAGGGAGGTGGCCTGGGAAGGAGATGCGACCTTTCCCCCCAGTTTTGGGCTCAGCATCATGCAGTGGAGAGACTGGTCAGCAGGATGCAGAGGGAAGGATAAGTCAATTCCCCCTGCACAAACACTGTCCTGCAGGTTTGGGGCATGTCAGGTCCCTGTGGCAATGTGTTTCTTGGCAACCTGGCTTCGTCTCCTGCCCCTGACCCCTGAAATCCCTGTTGGCTGGCAGTGTGGTAAACACTGTGCAATGATCACCTGTGATTTATGTGTGGTTTTGGGGGAAGGGGATCACCTGGTGCCAGCTTGTTTCGATTTTGTTATGACTTTGAGCTCTGTGAGCAAGCAGTTGTGTTTTAGAGTAATCAGATTGTGCTGGAAGTGAAGTTTGTAATGAATGTAATGTGGTCTTGAATGTTTTTTTTTTTCACCATTCTGTCATGTCAGCTCCAGTGCTGGAGGACAGTAAGGAATACTTTGTTTGGGCACCTCAGATATGCAGGCTTAGAGTTTTGTCTAATGATTGATGGCCCTGAATTTAACAATCTCTGATTAAAATAACTTTGTTAACCAGTTTTAACAAGAGATGATTGCTATATTTGTTAATTGTTAGTTTTTATGGATTATCTCTGCTTGCTTAAATGAGGTCAGACTTGAACAAAAGTTTCTCTGGCTAAACTTGCAGTAGTTGTATCTTTAAGTACGCTTGCTTGCTTAGATATTAAGAAAAACTGGATTTTCACTGATTATTTTTTGTGATAACTAAGTAATCCATTTTTCCCTTAAAAGACTGTAAGGCATTTTTTTTTCAGGTCCGTGATTGTACTTGTTATAAATTGTCGGCCCCTGAGTGAAAGGGTGACAGTCCTTTATTGATCTCCCTGATGCTATATAAAAAGGCAGTACTCTCTTTCTCCTTGATATTCCTTTCCAAGACTCCCATTAGGTTGTTTTTTTTTTTCTTTTGTTGCAGACTCTTGTTAGGAATTAATGTTCACGTGGCCTCTTCAGTGCTGCCCAAAGTCCTTAATGTCATTGCAATCTGTGATACAATTCTGTTTCCTTTGGTAGGGCTCATGTTTTACAAATGCATGACCTTGCATTTGGCTGTTTTTTAAGACAGCGTTCAAGTGCCTTTATCATTAAAAGTAGTTGAAAAGGCTTCTGAGCATTGTTCAGCAGTGGGGTTATGGACCTTGGTATGAGGTGCACTGGTCCTTATGCTTGGGTGCTACCATCTCATCAGCACTGACAATAGCAGGCTAAGGATTGTGGTGGAAATGGCCCTTAAGAAAGGTTGGTTTTTGCTTGCTGTCTGTTGGTGTTTGATTCCCATGTTCTAGGAGGGAGTTTAAATGTGATCTCAAATGGAAAGAGAAAGCTCTGGCCTGTGACTGAAGATAAGATTCTCATAAGGTGGAAGCTTACGAAGAAAATAATACAGGAGAGTGGATGTTTGGAGGTAAAGATGAAAAACATTAAAATTGATGGTAAAGGAACATAATGTACTGTAGGAGAAATGTGCAGACAAAGCTGAAAATGGTCATCTTGTTTAACATGCGGATCAGAATCGTGCTGTTCAGGAAGGATATTGGGAGTTCTAGTAAGATCCTAGTTGAAATAAGTTTGAAAGCATGGTTAAGAAGAAATCTCTTTAAACTTGAACTGGAAGAGTCTTCATCTGTGTAGGAATACTTCATAAAACATGTTGCTTATAATTGGGAGGGTGCTTACTGCTGCTGTGGCATTGTGAGTAAAGTGCTTGTGGAGGGGAAACAAAGTAAATTACCCATGTTCCATGTTAACTAAGTATGACTTAAACATACTCTTTAAATAGTTGTATGGTTTCAAGTGCAAAAAACTGAAGGTATGAGATGAAAAGTTTTTGTCACCACTTTCCAGGGAAGAGCACTGTCTAGTGGCTTACACTGCATCTGCTTATCAGATGCTGGACTGATACAGAAACTCGTCAGTACACTGAAAACACTTAACTGTTCTTTTTCATTTAAAAAAAAAAAAAAAAGGAAAAAGTGATTTTTCAGACTTTCTTATCCTATTTACATCAGGATCAGTGGTCTATTGGAAAATACCACTTTTCTTTAAGGTGCAGAAAGTTTATTTCAGTAAATAGTAACTTCATTTCTGTTGTGTTGGGGTACTGAGGGATTGGTTAGTGCTGAACCAAAGTTTGGCTGTGTTAGCAGTGCTGCGTTCATCATGCATTTGCAAAGACATTTCCAAATGTCAAATGATAATTGTGCTTCCCGAATCTGTGAAAGAATGGCTTTAATTTTGTATTTCAAGCTGCTGGAGTGTTTGTTGCTCTGTTGGAAAATCAATTTCCAGCAGCTACGCTGACCTGGAAATTTCTTCAGAACTCAGTGGGTAGAACTGAAAGAGTTGGTCTGGTGTCTCGTTCAGTTTGCATGTGGGAGCAAGCAAGTTGTGCCTTTGGGAAGAAAACTGGTTCAAGAGCAATTTTGTCCTTGAAATACCTGGTATTTCCAGAGACACTGGTCTTCTGTTGAGAGGCTTCAGCCTGTTGAAAATGTTCAACCCAGCAAGTCAGGTGAGGCTTCCTCATCACACCCTTAGTCTCCTGCTTGCAATTTGTCCTGAAAGGAGGGGAGCCACAGACTCATGGAATGGCCTGGATTGAAAAGGACCACAATGATCATCCAGTTTCAACCCCCTTCTGTGTGCAGGTCACCAATCAGCAGACCAGGCTGCCCAGAGCCACATCCAGCCTGGCTTTGAATGCCTGCGGGGATCCAGGGGCATCCACAACCTCCTTGGGCAGCCTGTTCCAGTGCCTCACCGCCCTCTGTGTGAAGAGTTTCCTCCTAATATCTAACCTAAACCATGAGGGAGGGCTTCCCAGTGTTTCACCGAGGACCGGCCTGAGGGTTTCTCCACCACTGGCATTGATTAAGTGCAAACAGCACCATTGAGTACTGGAGGTAGTTTGGCATGGGCAGAGGGAGACCTGCGCTAGTTTCCCTTGTCCCTCCTCTGACTTTCTGCAGAAAGTGTTGAGCTCAGCTGCTTTTTTCTTTTTTTTTTTGGACAGGGACAATTTAAACCATGTATAGAAGGTAATATGAGCCCTGTTCAATCAAAAGCTAATTCTTTGTTTTCTGAGAAAAGCACTTTATCCTGTTCTTTTTAGTACTGTTTTGTGTAAAACACAAAACTGTAAAACTGTTTTGCTCTGCTTTAAGCTCCCTGTTATGGTGAATAAGGGGTGTATATTACTGTGTCCTCCTCGATGGCAATTACATGCCCTTCTCTACTGTGAAGTGCCTTATTACTGTACC